GAACTTTGAATTTAGGGATGAAGGAAAAGTGATTAAAAAGAAATTGAGTATAGTAGCAATTCCAGATCCTGGTATCAATCTTTGGATAAAGAAAGTGAATACAAATTGAATTTGTAGATTATGATTAGTATCACAATTGCTTGTATGAATTTGGTGCTTTAAACCATTTATTTATATTTTATTTAATCTATTAAATTTGTTTTTATATCCATGATATCATTGTTAATATAATAGAATTATGTAAAATGAAATGCGTTTTTATAAATTTATAAAGCTACATTTTTCATAACTAATACTTAATTTTTTTTAAAATTCAACAAAATCTTGCTCCAATAAACTTTTATTAATTGATCACTTGTTATCAAAGACAATTGTACATCTATTATAACTATCTCTTAACCTTTAACCTAAGTTACAAGCTCAACTGATTGACTTATCGTTACCCTTGTTACCTAAAGCAGCTGATTGTAACAGTTTTTCCTTTTCTGTACCCTATACATTATTGTTTTATCTTTTCTTTATCTTTTGTACCTTTTATTATTTTTATCATATCATATCTCTTATCATTTGTAATATTGAGAGCAATTTTATTATTAAATATGTTAACTTTATTAACTTTATTTAAAACTGTATTTAGAATTGTATCTGTTTAACTAATAATCTGTAATTAATATAACCTAGATAAGAAGAATCAGATATATTTTATTTATATTTTTATTATTATTTATATTAATTATATGCATTTGTACCTATCTGGATTTGATCTAAGGACCTAAGATCATTTATTACTTAATTTATTATATAAAAAAAAACTCTTCTCTCTCTCCTTAAAAATCTACAGTAACAAAATTAAGTGAACATTTCTTGACGTTTCCAGTTGAAGGTTCATAAACTGACCAGATAAGACTGGATGTTAGAGATTGGACCTGAAGTGAACATGAAATTTTGCCTACGGAGTGGTTCTAGTCTCTTTGGTAGGAACTGTAAAATGACAACTTTATTTTCCTCTTGAGAATAGTTACAAAGGTGAAGAAGTCTTCAAACGACCAGGAATAAACTTTGACAAGTACTTTTGGGTAATGTTAGTTTAATTGGATAACTCCTCCTCTTTCTTGGGAAGAATAGTTTAGTTCACACAAATGTGAAAAATGAAGAGTTAGCTAATACTATTTGGTTTTGTTTTTCATATGAAATTTAATATATGGGTTACAACTCATTATGTTTTTATAATAGTATTTTAGTCTTATCAAAATATTGCTGAATTGTCATCAATATTTTAATATATATACACAAAATATTCAAATATTACAGATATATCTACAAATATACTTGTCTAAATATTGCTGAAATGTCATTGATATATAAATATATACACAAAATATTATAAATATACTTGTTGAAATATAGCTGAATTTAGTTGAAATAAAAAAAAAATCAGAATATAATATAATATCAATAATAATATTGGTATCTTTTCTTGAAGTTTTAGATTTTGGTTAATATATATATAAATAGATGAAAGAAGATATATTACATATATTAGATTTTCTTTTCTTGAAATATAATAAGAGAGATGGAAAGAAAATAAATTAGCATTTATAGAATAAAATATGAATATGAAAAGAAAAAAGAAAAAGAAAAAAATGTAAAGAAAGATATAAAGAAAAATGAAAAAATGAAAAGGAAAAAGAAAGAAAAGTAAATTAAGAAATAATAAAAAAAAATGAGTAAAAAGTATTTGAAAATGTGAAAAATAGATAAAAGTTTAAAAAGTGTATAAATTATACTTTAAGCATCCTTCTAAACTTTTTAAAGTATTTCTTTACATATTTTTTGTAAATATATAATATTATAAAAAATTTAAAATCATGTTACTATATAATTTTTTATCAAGTTGATATTAAATCTTATACTAAATAAATCTACAGAGATACACTCGCTGTAAAATTTTCAAACTAAATTAAGCCTAGTCGAACCAGTTTAATTTTAGGTTTTAATTACTTAGTACTACTTTAATATTAGTTACAGATATGAAGATAATCCTTATTTTGTTTTAATTACAATACGACACATGTTTTATATGACTTAACTAGTTGATCTATGTCTCGCCGGCACCTACCATATTTGATTCATATAGGAACTTTTTCAATTAAAGATTTTAAAAATGGTTTAACTGTTGGTCCGACACTATTTATGTGTAAAAAATTGAGCAAATTTATATGTATTTTACTCTAGGCTGGAATTTGGACGGCGTATATAAGTAAATTTTACAATATAATCATAGATGAAATTTTAGTATCTGTGTCAAGTATGCTATTTGAGCATTTTTTTGTAAAAAGTCTGGTAAATTTTCAAAATAAAAGATACTTTTTTATGTGCTGAAAAAATCAATTTTTTAAACCTATATATTTTGAGCCAACAGATTATAGTTTTATTATATTAAATAACTTATTCCCAAATTTTATATAAATATCGCCGTTCTTGGCGGATCAGCAATTAACATTAACATATATTGAAAAAAAATAAATTAAAGTAAAATTTGATTTAAAAGATTGTGAAGGCTTTTGAATTTATTAGAACAAAAAGGGTATGGTGGTGGGTATATTATTTTTTAAACCATATAGAAAAGAAAAAATAAATAATAGTGGCGGTTAAATTATTTTAAAAGGAAAATAGATAATGGTACAAAGTCGTAACAAATTCCTTTATAAACTATCATCCCCTCATTAATTAGCTGACTCGATTCAAAAAATTATTATCTAACAAAATGCTTGAATTACTAATTTCGTTAACGGTATTATTAGTAGGATATTATACCTACAAATGGGTTATTTATCCATTATATCTTTCACCTCTTTGTAAAATTCCTGGTCCACCACCCGACCATTTTTTGTTGGGAAACTTTGTTAGACTCATTAAAGAAGAGGCAATATTTTTTATTCATTGGTAAAAAAAAAAAATAAAAGAAAAATAAAATATAGTTTTTAAAAGAAATCACTTTGTATTTATAATGTAGGTAGGAGTACCTCAGATAAAATGGACCAAGGATTATGGAGGAATTATTTGTTATCGAGGATTATT